GAATAACAATAAATCATTTAAACAAAGATAAATGAGATTTGAAGTTTTGAACTATTCTTGTTCAGTCATTCAGTATTATCACAACCATTCTCGTATCCATTTAACAATATACAACCTTAATTTTACCATGAAGAAGTTGAGAGAAAAGGAGAAGAGGAGACTCAGGTAAGAGAAAACATTGGTTTGAAATGAATGTTGATTCATTTCCTTTCATATTATTAAAAAAAAAAAAAAATTCAGATTGAGAAAATATTGGTTTGAAATGAATATTGATTCATTTTCCTTTCATATTATTAAAAAAAAAACTTTCAAAATTTTTTTTGGCTGGGGGAGGGGGGGCACCTGCCTCCTAGGCCACCCCAGGTCCGCCCCTGGTTGAAAATGAGTAGAAGAATGAGAATGAAAAAAATAATGTTGACCAAACAGGTCTTTTACTCATTTTAAACCACATTTTTCAATAAAATAATATTTTCCATCACATCAATAATTTTTCCTTTTTTTTCAATCACACATTCTCCATCAATCTATTGTTTCATAATACATTCTTCCAAAAACATGAGGCTCAAACACACCCTAATCTCGAGAAGCTATTTATCAATGTAAAGCATGTTTAACAAACTTTAAATCCAACAAAACATGCTCTAGATGCGCACAATGAATTTTTAAATGCCATTAAGCTCATGTTTGGATTTCATTAAAATTATAATTCATTTTCCCACTTTTTATTAATCATACATTCTTTAAAAAATTATTATTTTAAAATACATTTTTTTCCCAAAATCTAATTAAAATGGAGGTCAAACAAAGATTTATAGTCTTTTAAGTCAAGGTGAAAATTTTGATGAGCACTATACTTTCAATGTTTTGTTTTAATAGTTAATGTCCTTTTAATGTTGCTTTTCAACAATTACTGAACTTTAAAATTCTTTCGGAATTGATCCTCCATTTTAATCGAACTTCTAATCATTTTTCTTAGCGCTTGTTTGGCTCCCATTATTTGACGTTATAATGAAAGAAATAGTAATTTTTTTGAGAATGTGTGGGTAAAAAAGAAAGATATTTTTTTAAATTTACGTGTAATATTATTTTATTGAAAAATGCGCTGTTGATAAAAAGAAAAAAAAAAGAAATTATAATTTAATGAAAATTAATGGGGTCAAGCGGGGGCTTATTTATCACTTGACATCGTTTAGAAAATCAATAATTTATCAATCAAATGATTGATATCTTTAATTTTCAAATAGCAGGTGATAGGGTGACAATAAAAAATAATGAGATTATTCAGAATTTTTAAAAGTTCAATAACAAATTGGGATGTCAAAAGTAGAATGGAATTAGGTCTGTGGTATGACTTTTAAGACTCAAAAGTTACTTTTGAACGTTTGGTTAATTTTATAAAAGTATTTTTTCTAGTTAAACTTTCGGAGGAAGTTGACTCGATACGACTTTTTTAACAAGTTTTTTCGAAAGAGGAAATTTTTTTAAAAATTAGTTTTTAAATGTCAAATAAGATAGTTTCCGGAGAAAATACTTTTACAAAAAATAAAAACTCTGCCAAAGAAACATTTAGGCCCTGTTTGAGTCAAATTATTATAAAATAAGAATGAAAAATATAGTCGTTATTGGGGCCCACATAAGAGATAGAAAATTTGAATTTAAATGTTGATGTGATGGATAACGAT